AAGAAATAGTTTAATTATAAGTCATGTATTTGTTTGCAATAACAGAATAGTGGCCGTTGAGGACAAAAGTTTTGCCGCCGGCTTAATGACTGGTTTTATGTGTCTCTTTGGTATTCATTTTAATTGAGTATTTAAGTGAAATATTTATTTTAAGTGAATTTATTTATCACAGCATTTATACCCTACCCCCTGGTCTACGGGGCAGTCATAGACGCCTCGTGTCTGATATGGGATTCCAGTTGTGGCCAAAGAGGCAACTGTTGGATGTATGACACGAACGCATTGAGACTCAGTCTTCATGGCCTTACTTTAGTCATGTATTTCACGGGAAGTCTATTCGATATAATTGTCATATTCTTATCGAAGAGGATTAAGAATCTATACAACGATGACATCGACGAAGAGGAGGAAAGTCCTGTAAATATGAAACTCAGTTCGAGTGTCGACCGACAACTTTCCACACTTTTTGATTGATAGTTATTATTTTATTACCAGTTAGTAATTAAAGTTTATGTAAATTTTATTTATTTTATTGTATTTACTAATATTATAATTTATGCAATTTAATCCAATTTATACATTTAAAATAAAAGTAAATATTAATAATTTTTAAAATTTAAATCTAAAGTACCAAATGATAATAAATTTTGTCTCATATTTATTTAGCTGTAATAACTTTGAATGATTATGTAAAATATTATAATACTAAACGTTTTAGTATAACATATTAATTATGTAAAATATTAGTATTTGTCAAAACCAATAATGATTTTAAAATCTATTAAAACAAGAAATATATCTATAAATTAATATGTGTTTATTTTAATTAAAGAAAGTAATTTTAAATTTTGATTAAGGTTATACTGTATAATATAACTTATATTTATTAATTAGAGATCAATTAAATTAGAGAACAATTAAAAATATTTAACATACATTTAAAATATTGTTATATTAAACAAATTTTTAAATAAAAGAAATGTCAGTTAAATATAATTTCTGTGGTAAAGTGGCCCTGGTGACCGGTTCTAATTCAGGCATTGGTGCGGCCACTGTCTTACTGTTTGCCAAATCAGGTGCTAATGTAGTGGTGACGGGAAGTAATGCTACGAAAGTGTCACAAGCGGCCAAACAGTGTCGCAATGAATCGCCTAATGGTTTGAAAGCTCTGGAAGTGGTGGCAGACGTTACCAAAGAGGAAGATCTCCAAAAACTTGTCGACAAAACTATAGAAACTTTTGGCAAAATTGATATTTTGGTCAATAATGCCGGTATTGATTCAATTGTTAATATATGTGATTCTGATTATATGGACAAATACAGAGCTATTCGCCAAACAAACTTGGATTCAGTCGTATATTTGACTCACATTTGTGTCCAACATTTGGAGAAAACTAAAGGCAATATCATTAATATCTCGAGTGTTCTTAGTGTTAATACTGTAAGTAACATCATATTTGTGATATAAACGATATATAAATGTAAATAAAAAATTTGAATGATGTCTGAATCCATAGCACATTTCTAACTCCCACTACTGTATGTCGAGGGCAGCCCTCAATATGTTCACCCGATGTATGTCCGCAGAGTTGGGACCCAAACATATTCGCGTCAATTCTGTGAAGTAAGCACTCATTAAAGCAAATAAAAGTTCATTTTATAAGTTATATAACTTTCGTAATTAGAAAAATAGTAAATTAATTGTTTATATATTTAATCAATGATTGTATATTTAATTATATTTCCAACAATTAACATATTTCTGAGTATTGAACAGTATTAAGTTAGTATAAGTTAATAGAGTAAGAAAATGTGCATGTTATTTTTTGTTAGCCCTGGATATATCCGAACTGATTGTCTGTTGACAATGGGCAGCACCAAAGAGCAATCGGATCAGGTGTTTGACTTCGTGGCCACCAAATACCCGGTCGGTCGCTCAGGTATGCCCGACGATGTGGCCAATGCTATACTGTTTGTCGCTTCTAATGACTCGTCTTTTATAACCGGCGCCGACATGTTTGTGGACATATCGCTGCAAATATGAGTTTTGATCACTTCTTACAAATATTTGCTTAAAATATAATATAAAATAAATTATTATCAATTTAATTACAAATATTTTAAATATAATATGTTTGAAAAGACAATAATTTCCAACACATGGCATAAACAACTTGTACCCTGTTAGAATAATTGAATATAATTTAGAAAGACACTGTATAATCTCCTTTATAATATTGTCAAATGGTATTTAAAGAGTAAAAATAAAAATATTGTTTTAGAAAAATACTAATAAAACTCAAAAGATTTATTATATAATCAAGATACAATATGATGCTCATTTGTATCGATTGTATCAATGAAGTGCACAAAAGTCTAATATAATTAAAACCACATAAAATATTTACAAATTCATTTCAAGGGATTTTCCTGATATTTATGTTAAAACGAATTATCTGGTCATTTGTAGTCAATTCATATACAAGTCTTATAGAAAAAAACAAATTTTTAAAAATATAATAACTAATATTAAAATGTTTAGTAATGTTATACAGTATTTAGTAAATAAATTATAATTTTATTGAAACTCCAGAAAAATCTGAATATTCTGACTGATGGCATACTTTTGACTACAGGTGGCAGACGGTTAGCTGCAAACAAATTGCCCTATCTAATTTGCTATTTTGTTGCAAATATCTTGTAACGTTATAATAATTTAGGATTACTTTGGTGTTTATTATAACAGTATAATAACTGATTTTAAGTTTAATAAGAATGAG